GGAAAGGGAGGTGTATTGCTTCTTGAGCGCCTTCCCAATAATTGGAAATAGGGCAAGTGTGTACTTAGCTTTCTAAATGATTAAGTGGCATGATTTCTTAGTCAAAGCACTGAGATTATGAGTAACTTTATCTATTGGATTTTCAGGTGGCAGAAGCACAGGCGGGGGAAGCCAGCAACATGCGGAAGCATCTTGATGATGAAGATTATGTGGCAGACTCAAAGCCTTTGGCTATAACATCTACATCAAATGACACTTCTCCAAAAGCAGGACAAACGAACAAGAAGACAGCTGCAGCAATCGCAGCTGAGGTAGCTGACAAACTTACAGCTTCTAGCTCCTCTCAGTATATCATGTCATCTGTCCTCTCTTCATTTGCTGCAGAGGCGGCAAAAACTGCCGGGCTGTCAAAAACTTCATCGCTTCCAGCCACCAACAATTCTATTTCACATCCAGAAAAGTCTCTATCAGATTCAAATGTTTTAATGCCAGCACAGCCACTTAATCCTCCGCCTTATCAGTCAATGTTGGTTCCTCATCCCACAGTGCATAGTCAAATGCCAAATTCTCAGGGTCAATATCATTCACTTCCCAATCCAACACCCCAGCAGTATTTACAGCCATCGGCAGGAATGGTGAGCCCTTACGGTTATGGGATTCCCGCCTTGCCGTCTGTACCACCTCCTCCAGCACCTCCATCGTATATGACTTCAATGGTGCCTTTAACACAGCAACAATTGTCAATGGTGCAGCAGCAGCAGTCTTTAGCACAACAGCAACAAGTACCATTACCTCAACAAGCTCTACCTCCTAATTTCCGTCCTTTGCAACCTCCTGGGATGGTATACTATGCTCAACCGCATCATTCACAATGAGGAACTCTTCGTTTGACTGTCAAAGATCGTATAAGAAACAACAAATTTCAGGACACTAAGTGTTATATGCTGGAGAAGAGCGGCTGATAGTGCAGGTAATAGATTACCATTAGTGCTTAATTTTCCATCTTCAAGTCTGTTTAGAAATCTGTGATGGTTAGTGTCTTTATCCAGTGTTGTCATAGTTGTTCCTTTGCAATTTTTCCCCCCTCATTTTCTGTTTTTCCTTTTCAGCATACATGTAACACTAACATGACGGCTAAGAGGCTGCTGACAATTTTGTATTACTAGTTAAACATGATAAAAGGACTTGGCTGGCTTTTTTCTCTTCTCACATAAACTTGGTAAAAGAAATAACCAGCTATCTCCATTACACATCTGTTTTCGGTGCTTAACTACCACCAACAACAACGACCCAGTAAAGTCCCACTAAGTGGGGTCTGGGGAGGGTAGTGTGTACGCAGACNTCTAAGCCAAAAAATAAACAAATAATTATTGAAAAGAAAAGTCAGTGTCAGTTATCAAATGGTAAGACTAATCAATTGCGGAAAACAAAGATTTTAATCTGGGGAGATCAATACTGGCCAAGGGAAAACAGATAGAAGAATTGCAGGATCTTTGCACTTGTCAAGAGGCCTGTTGGACCCCCCGACCCCAAATCCTGACNTCTAAAAACTATAAAATAGATGACATGCAATAACAATAACCCGCAACTAACAGTAAGGTTACTGTGAACTCTACATTAACCACAAGCCGTCTAGGACCAACCTACTCAAACTCGCTTCACCCCCGGAATGGAGAAGGAGAAGCTCGACTACCACTCTATCCTACAACCCTAATGCTCGACCTCCAGACTTTCCTATCAAGGGCTATGTCCTCGGTGTTTAACCCTAAACCAAAAAATAAACAAATAATAATTGAAAGGAAAAGTGATTGTCAGTTATCAAATGGTAAGACTAATCAATTGAGGAAAACAAAGATTTTAATCTTGGGAGATCAATACTGGCCAAGGGAAAACAGATAGAAGAATTGCAGCATCTTTGCACTTCTCAAGAGGCCTGTTGGACCCCCCGACCCCAAATCCTGACTAAGCGATTGGACATGAAACAAATTTTTAATAGGGTGCTTTCATTTGTTATGTCAATGTTGTAGTGCATTTAAAGAATCCATAGAAATGCACATATGTCACACCCCTGTTTCATCAAGAAAAGGTAAAGAGTTTATGTAAAATCAGAACTTGGTTATGACATGTTTTGATTATTAAAATAAGAGTTGGGAAGTGGAAGAAGGTATTCGGACATCTGATTTTGTTTTGAAAGTAAGAAAACAGTACTATGTTGAATTGGAACTGACTGGTGCTGAAGTCTTTGCTGGAGGACCTGATCACCATGCAGAAATAAAAATACCTCTCCTACATATTTACTTATTAAGTAAAGAAGTATACATATATTCATATCAAAGATAAGATCGTGTGATTTGGGCAAGCATGCCATACATTTATTTGGGCAAGAAGTACATTTCTTATTGCTTTCACAATGGATTACAAGCATCATTCCAGAATGAAGAGAAGGATATTGCGCGTCACTTAGAAACACCCTATTACTCTACTCGCACAAGGTACGCGTAAGGGTGCGTACATACTATCTTTCCCAGACTCCACTTGTGCGATTATACTGAGTATGTTGTTGTTGTTGTTAGAAACACCCCATCACAATTCTTGCCTTAAATTGTTCGAGTAGCAGGAAGCTTGTACTACAAACAACATCAAGGATTCGTTCTCTTTCCATAAGAACTATGAGGTCTCTGGTTCAACTCCCAGCAGGGAGACAAAAAAACACTAGGTGATTTCTTCCTATCTCTTGAGCTTAAATAAAGTGATGGTTCTTATAGCCGATCCCAACTTGTTTGGGACTGTGGCGTGGTGGTGGTTGATTTCTTCCCATCTGCCAAAGTGTTGGTGGGTAGAGTTATCTGATACCTGTGCTGCTGGGAGGTTGTAAGTATAAGGTGGAATTAGTCGAGGTGCATGCAAGCTGGTCCAAACGTCACCCTCGTAAAAAAAAGCAACAGGTAGCACAAGATTGCCATTATGGTTTGAGAAATGACCAGTAGAAAACCAGGCTGGTGGACTCTTCTTTAGAAACTCTTCTGTTGGCATGGATTTCAGTTGCTGTCATTTGACTATAGTGCTTTGGTGCATATATCAGGTGCAGATAAGAATTTTCTGTGGAAAACTTGAGATACTTTAAAAGTTCAGCAAATTTGGATAACACATGAAAGAACATTTTACATACCTTAAAGAATCAGTTAATACATGAAGAGCAGTTTTTGAAGCAGTATAAAGCACCTGGCCATGGTCCTGGAGCATACACTTTCCATATCTTTTTCTCTGGACTAACACTTTCAAAGGAGGCATAAACACAAAGAGGTCAGAGCACTGAAAACAGAAACACAATTGCAAAGAAAATTCTAATGGTCGCCAAAGTAATAATTTTCCTCGACGCATAAGCATTATTTAGCTGGCCTTTTAGATTTTACGGTCAAACATCTTTATAACAGTCTCGTTTGTTCCGGATATTTTTAAGAAATGCGATTCTGAAAACTATATCGGGGTAGTAACACTTTTTTACGTTTATGTTAATCTTGATTTGATATAAAGAGGGTTCTTTTACGCCATAATTCATATCTACAGTGGAACTAAAGAATATTTACATATGTATTCAGGATGAAAAACCCCCAAGCGATAAGTAGAACTGACATGTATAACGTAGTTCTTTCGAAAAGGCCATTTTTTCACTCCCCTAATTCTTTGTTTATCAATTTGATTTCAATTTTATATATATATATATANGGCTACTAGATGTAAATAGTTTCAGTCGCGGGGTAAAAGTGATCTTTGACCTATTTTAAAGTTGCTCATTTTAGTTCGTTTTTATCTTACTAGTTATAGTGTACGTGCGTTGCACATGTATTCTGCTTTTGTTAAAAATAAAATACATGGAATATAGAATAAGAATGAATCATGTGTATTGCATTGATGTCATGACAGATGTAACATTTTTAAAAAAATGTTAGTACACCTGCACAATATTTAAAAAAATGTTCCTGGAAACAGCCTCTCTACCCTTCGGGGTAGGGGTAAGGTTTGCGTACATATTACCCTCCCCAGACCCCACTTGTGGGATTATACTGGGTTGTTGTTGTTGTTGTCGAGTATCTTTTGAACCTACAAAGATGAAAGTTTTGGTGTGTTAGTTATAATTACTGTAATTATAAGTATTTTATTATATGAGATAATAATATGTCATGTTGTTGTATTTGACCTTACATACTTTGTAGGTGATGTTTTTGGTATTTGGTGTATCGTCGTATTAAAGACTTTATTAATTAAAATTTGGGTGTAAGTACATAAAAAAGACTAATTAGCGGCTATCAAGCTCGAGTATTAGTTGAAAACATCAACAACGCCCAACAGTACATGCTGCTAAGATCTGAAGCCAACTAAATAGGATAGAAATTGAGCGTTTTAAGCCAACAAACAAGCTTTCACTTCAAAACTCCTCTACAATACACCTCTTGAACATTTGCTTTATGATGATGCAAAAGCCATTATTCGTATTTTGAAATACCCTTCAATTCCTCTAGCGCCAAACATAATACACCACAACAGTCATAGCCATTCTAAGTACTTTAGCCCCAGAAGATTTTTCTTTAACACACTCCTCATAAGACTAATTCCGACATCAAAAAAATTATACTAATTATCTTGGGCATCTAACCTAGATCATAGACATTCTACCAATTTTAACATTTTGTTAATGGTTCTTCAAAGGGTTTGAACTTATGCCGTTCTTTTTAATCTTTACAATCTGTTTACTTAGAGATTTTTTTTTTTTTTATGTGAGAAGAATTAAGGTTGATTGATTTTCAAACTTTTTTTCTAATGATAAAGCAATCCATGAATGCAACATATTAAGATTACTATCGAACTAATAAAATAGTACTAATTTAACCATAAACAAATTGTAATTCTGCATGAAGTGTTATTATAGCGTTGCATGATATACCTGATACAATAGTAGAAATTTTCAAGACCTAAGCAGAGCAGTGTATATCCCTGGCATTAAAGCAACACCAACTAAAGTTTATTTCCTAATAAAAAGTACTAAACCATAACAATCCATGAGTAGGAATTTTTTTTTCTTAACTCAGCGTTTAATACTTATAAAATCTAAAATGCAAAAATTTTGTTTTCAACGAAGGGAATTTAAGATGACCCCATCATAGCTTCTACTTTGCTAAAAAATAGAGTTCACATGGTGAATACATGTTCACGCTAAAAAAAAAAAATTCTTTACCGTGACATTCCCAATTTTTTTTAAGTTAGTATTCTCTAAACCATGAAATAGAAAACATAGATAATACACCATGAATTATCAGAAATTAGAAACACAACGCAAAAATTAAGAACGATATTCACCGAAACTAAATATACAAGATATAGCAACAGATAGCATAGAACTTAGGAAACCACGCGAATTGTAGTAAAACCGAAGAATACATAATCAAATTTATAGAATTACAATGTCTAATATCAAATCGATAATCAAACCAATTTAAAGTAAGATAAAGCAATACAGTTGATAACTTGATAAGCAATAGAGTTGTGAGCGGTGTGGCTAAACTCAATTTTACGTTTATTGTTCGTTTATAGATGTATTTTTCTAGCCTAAGTAGGATTTTATTTAGATTTAATAGTAAAAACTTAATTTCAAATAAGGAAAACTAATGTGGATTGTATTATGGAACTTTCGTTAATTTCAAATAAGGAAAAGTAACTTAATTGGAATGTATTATTGTTATTTTACCTAGTTTAAGTAAGTAAGAATTTAGTAAGAAATATTATTTTGATTTGAAAGTTCTTAATATTAGGAAATTATGAAATGACTATTCAATCCAATATGAAATCTATTTTTAAAGGATAAAAAAGGCGAACGACATTTCGCTAAGGGCCTTCGTGCTTTTAATATAACTAGCTTTACGGTACGCGCAATAATAAGAACATATTTTTAAAAAAAATTACGTAAATTTTATCAAACTATGTATTTGTCTAATAGATTATATAATAAAAGTTAAACAAATATTCTTGAAAAGGTTGAATGTTGTTCCCATTTTGTTAGCCTAATAAATGAAGAAATCATATTTGAGAAACTTAGATGTTTTATCGTGTTTTATAAGGACATATATGGTCTTATAAAAATTATTGTTACTTTAGTTGCCTAATACTGAAAACAAAATACAAAAGAGAATAAAAAAGTTGGTCTTATAGCTCGA